CTAGCTATAATCTCACTTAATTGGCAACTCACCCTTATCTTGTCAGATGCAGAAAAGATGCTGCGAGTTGTTCTCAACGTCAATTGAGGCATCATTGGACTCTCATGTTACCCTGCTTCAAATCACACCAAAGATTGTCTACAACCTAGGTGTCATATCTGACCTTGAGCTTTTATAACAAATATGTGCCAAACTAAGATTACCTTATATTACCTCCACAACATCACCAATCTGTGTCCCTGCCTCAGCTCTCCTGCTACTGAAACCTTCAATTACACTTTTGTTGCCTCCAGATGTGACTCTGCTGGCTGAACCTTCCACATCCTATGCTTTGTTAAGTTCAAGTCATTCAAACCTCTAGTGCTCATATCGTAACTCACAAGAATTACCATTTATCTATCACCCTGTGTTCACCGACCTACAGTGGCTCTCATTTAAGCAGTGTAGTTAAGCAATTACTTGATATAAAATCTCTTATTCTTGTTTTCAGATCTATTCATGGATTCAATGTAATCTCTTCCAGCCCCACATCCCTTTGAAACATTTTTCTTGTCTAATTCTGGCCCCTTGAATATCCCAGACTTTAATCATTTCACCATTGGTGCCCTTCACCTGCCTCAATCTTAACTCTGGAATTTTCTCCATAAGCATCTCCGTCTCCCTATTTTGCTTTCCTTCTCTAAGCTAATCCTTAAAACCTGCATGTTCGACCAAGTTTTTGGTCACGTGCCCTAATATCTCCTAATGTGACCTAGGGTTACATATCATTTTGTAACTTCTCTGTGAATTATCTTGGTATGTTTTATTATGCTAAACGTACTATATAAATGCAAGTTGCTGTTGATAAGGTGAGAACAGAATGGGATTTGAGAAGATATGAGATGAGGGATCAAACTGTCATCCTTGATGGCTTCAACAATGATGTTGGTCATAGCCTCACTGATGGCAGTTACAATTATTTCCAGCACCGACTCGTACACAGCGTGCAGCAGTACCTGTCCCCTGCTGTTTCACTGCTGTTGTTGCAAATTTCAAGCAACATTGTCCTGAAAAATGAGTAGCTGCTGTGTCAGTGAGTGTGATGCATTGCGATTTGGTGATGTGCCTGCCAGATTTGAATAGCTAGCCAGCAATGTTGAGTGCATGAGGATTACAGAAGTGTATGAATGTGATGTTTGAGCTGTGGTTGCAGTTGATTGTTGAGTGAAAGAGGTGTGCTGAGTGGAGCAGTTTCAGAGGCCAGTGGTGTAATTGGTGGGATTTGCTAAGTAAGGGATGCCTTAACTGACTAGTTTTAGGTCACTAAATTCCTCGCAACTTCATCTAGTTCTCTGAAGCAGTCACAGCCACATGTATCTACTATTAGCTGAGCAGTATCTGGAAGGCTTCCTGATCTCTGAAAGAGCAGAATCTCCTGCACCACTGGTTCCAGCACAGCAATTGAAAATCCAATGGAGTTCTCCCTTGACTGCATTGCTACTTTAAGTTATAGAGTCATAGAATTGTACAGCATGGAAACAGACCCTTAGGTTCAACTCGTCCTTGCCCATCAGATATCCTAAATTAATCTAGTCCCATTTACCAGCATTTGGTGCAGATCCCTCTAAACCTTTCCTAATCATATACACATCCAGATACCTTTTAAATGTTGTCATAGTACCAGCCTCCACCACTTTCTCTGGAAGCCCATTCCATACATGCACCACCCTCTACATGAAACAGTCATCCCTTAGGTCCCTTTTATATCTTTCGCCATCACCTTAAATCTATGCCCTCTAGTTTTAGACTCCCCCACCCTGGGGGAAAGACCTTGGGTATTCACCCTATCTACGCCCCTTTTGATTTTATAAACCTCTATAAGATCACCCCTCAGCCTCCGATGCTCCAGAGAAAATAGCCCCAGCCTATCTAGCCTCTCCCTATAGGTCAAACTTTCCAACCCTGGCAACATCCTCATAAATCTTTTCTGAACCCTTTCAAGTCTCACAACAACCTTCCTATAGCAGAGAGATCAGAATTGAATGCAGTATTCCAAAGTGGCCTAAAACCAATGTCCTGTACAGCCGCAACATGACCTCCCAACTCATATACTCAATGCATTGACCAATAAAGGCAAACATACCAAACACTTTCTTCACTACCCTGTCCACCTGTGACTCCACTTTCAAGGAACTATGAACCTGCACTTCAAGGTCTCTTTGTTCAGCAACACTCCCCAAAACCTTAACATTAAGTGTATAAGTCCTGCTTTGATTTGCCTTTCCAAAATGTAGCACCTCACATTTATGTAAATTAAACTCCATCTGCCACTCCTCAGCCCATGGGCCATCTGATCAAGGTGCCATTGTACTCTGAGATAACCTTCTTCACTGTTCAATTCACCTTCAATTTTGGTGCCATCTGCAAAATTACTAACCATACCCGCTATGTTCACAACCAAATCATTTATATAAATCACAAGAAGCATTGGATCCAGCACCGATCCTTGTGGCACGCTATTCATCACAGGCCTCCAGTCTGAGGAGCAATTCTCCATCACCACCCTCTGTTCTCCTACCTTTGAGCCAGTCCTGTATTCAAATGGGTAGTTCTACCTGTATTCCATGTGATCTAACCTTGCTAACCAATCTATCATGAGGAACCTCGTCAAACACCTTACTGAAGTCCATATAGATCAAGTCTACTGCTCTGCCTTCATCAATCCTCATCATTACTTAGAATCTCCACACTGTGGAAACACGTCATCTGGCCCACAAGTCCACACCGATCCTCCGAACAGCATCCCACCCAGGCCCATTCCCCTACCCTATACCTGTAACCCTGCATTTCTTGAGGCTAATGCATCTAACCAACACATTCCTGAACACTATGGTCAATTTAGCATGGCCAATCCACCTAACTTGCATATCTTTGGACTTTGGGAAACTGGAGCACCCGGCTGAAATCCACGCAGACACGAGGAGAACGTGCAAAATCCACACAGACAGTTGCCCAAGGTTGGAGTCAAACCCAGGTCCCTGGTGTCGTGAGGCAGCAGTGCTAACCACGGAGCCACCATGTTGCCCATTACTTCTTCAAAAAACTCAATCAAGTTAGTAAGACATGATTTCCCACACACAAGGCCAGCTCTAATCACACCTTGCCTTTCCAAATACATGTAAATTCTGTTCCTCAGGATCCCCTCCAACAACTTGCCCACCACTGATGTCAGGTTCACACATCTATAGGTCTCTGGCTTTTCCTTATCACCGTTCTTAAATAGTGGCACCATGTTAACCAACCTCCAGTTTTCCAGCCTCTCAACTTTGGCTATCAATAATACAAATATCTCAGCAAGGGGCCCAGCAATCACTTCCCTGGCTCACAGAGTTCTAGGGTACACCTGATCAGGTCCCAGGGATTTATTTACCTTTATGCATTTTAAGGCTTCATGAAAGTCTTTAAAAATAGAGAGGTAATGGCCTAGTGGTATTATCACTGGGCTATTAATTCAGAGACAAGATAATGTTCTAGGGAATCCAGGTTCAAATGTCTGCCACAGCAGATGGTGGAATTTGAATTCAATAATATAAAAGTCCAGGATTAAGAGTCTGATGATGATCATGAAGCCGTTGCTGATTGTTAGGAAAATCCTATCTGGTTCACTAATGCATTTTAGGGACAAAAATTTGCCATCCTTACCTGGTCTGGCCTACATGTGAGTCCAGATCCACAGCAATGTACCTGACTCTCAACTGCAATTAGGGATGGACAATAAATACTGGCATGGCCGGTGACATCCATGTCCCGTGAATGAATAAAATTTCAAGCAGTTTCAGCGCCTGCTGCAGCCAGAATGCACCTATCTTTTAAAAGGTAAAAGTTGGCTTTAAATATAGGCTAACTTTGAGTATCGCTAAACTTAGATGAACCTGAGCCTTCTGTCCAGTTGTGCAGCTACTGGATTACATGACATAATCATGGAATAAGCAGGCAGTATGAAGTTTGCTTGCTTTCTTTATCACTATCACAGGACTTATTAGGATAATCTCACACACCCAAATTCGGCAGTTATCTAATCCAGCCTCCTATGACTCAAATAAACTGCTTTATTAAAAGAAGTAGATTACCATGTTTTTGCTAATTTGAGAAAATTCAAGAGAATATAAGTGCATTTTTTTCTCACATTTAGCAAATGCTTTTTTGTGCAAAACATAATTTCCAATTAGATTGTTGAGTTAAAAAGAATAGTTTCCCTTCAAAATTATTGTTTTGTTATATAAAGTGTGCTGTAAGCTGTTTTCCACAAATGTAAAATGCACCGGAACATCAACAGCCACAACTTTCTGGAGGAGGTTGTGATATTGATGAGCACCTTATAATGGGGATTGGGTGTGTTTGTTCAGAATTACATCACTATTGCCTTGTTAGTGACTTTCGCTTCCTTTGAATGTTATTTCCTGATGGGACCAGTAAATCTACCTAAATACCATCTTATCAATCAAATACATGTTAGATGTCTACTACTGCTGTCAAAAATGAATAAGTTTTGCAAATGAAGATAGTCCTTGAAGAGAATTAACAAAGCAATCATTTCTGAAGAAGGGTCTAGGCCCGAAACGTCAGCTTCCTGCTCCTCTGATGCTGCTTGGCCTGCTGTGTTCATCCAGCTCTACACCTTGTTACCTCTAAAGCAATTAGTCATCTGATTCCATTGTACTTTATGTGAATTGCAAAGTGAAAAGATACTTTGATTTTATATTGCTTAGAATTGAAACCCAACGTTAACTTTTCTGAAATAATGAAACTACAGGATTAGGTAAATCCTTACTTTGTGCAATAATATAAAATGGAGGATAATGTATTGACAGTCTATTTTACATCTCTCCTGAATTTCATGATCAGTAATGGAACTGCTAACATCACTTAAAGTCAAAGTCTATCTGATGCGAGCATGATTTTATATATTTGTCTTGTTGTTTAAGAAAAAGTAAGATCCATTGCATTAAATTGACTCCTACCGGAATACCAGGGCTCCCTTGCTCACCCTTGTCTCCCTGAAGCCCACGCAATCCCTATAAAAGTTAATTATTAAAATTAGCAAAGTAAGCTGAGTTGCAAAGTTAACGTCAACTATGCTAAATGATTTATTAAAGAATAATTATTACCTGGATACCTTGGGGTCCTGGTATGCCTGGACTTCCTGGCAATCCCGCAATTCCCTGTAAAATAATATAAATATTTTTAATACAGAAAGCAAAATTCAGCAAAAGCTATGAACTGATATTTTATTTAAATACATTAACACATAATGTATTTTAGAAAAGACAGATTCCATGTATAAAATGCAGGAGGGCACCGATGTTTTACACATTCATGAGATATATAATCTTATGTGTGTGTAAGTATCACTTTTGCTTCTGAGCTTTAAGTTTAGAAACTTGATTGTACAGAAAATTGATAATACAAGTGTCAGGGTGCTTGCTTTGCCAACAATTTTGTTTGATATTAATTCTCAGAGAAGATAATTCTGATAATTTTATCACGCAAATTAGAATGCTTCAAATAAATGTGTACTCCTGTAGAATTAATATCTGTAAATTTAAATATCCAGACTTTTGATTCTGGGATTAATTAATAATTTACTTCCACTTTATAACACATTTAATGCATTATGAGTTTTTTATATTTTATAGTAAAAGGGCAGAAAAATATTTATAAGCTTATGAGCACTTATATTCCAGGGGCTCCAATTAATTTTGATTAGTTCTTTTGCGGTGGCAAGTGAAAGTAGGTGGGGTATAGTTGTTAAGAGTCCTTGGGGATTTTGTCCTGCCCAAGTGTTCAGTGGAGGAAAAGATTTGTGATCCACTGTCATAGGACATCACTTGTATTAGACAAGTGCTATAAGTGCTATTTTGGTACTGTAGCAGAATTACAAACCTGACTAGAGAGATTATAAAATGGATTGCCAGAAAAGACGAACATGAATTTGGATGGTGACAAATTCAGGTACTTTGGACATTAAAGGAAGGTTACAGATGGATGGTTAGGGTCAAGCATTGCTTTTTTGAAGGAGATTAAAAAGACAAAGTAACAGTACCTGCAAAAAGAAACATTCACAATTATTTAATATGGGGACCAGCGAAGAAAGTTGCTTGGGAGTCGTGTTTAGGAATAGAGTTGAGGCAACAGGGGATGATAAACTTGGAGGAAGGAAAGACATGTTTTCAGCATGAGGGCATGAGAGGGTTTTCGAGGAGATTTGACCTTGCGAATGAGTAGAAGGGAGGGATGCAGCAAAAGCTACTGATTAGAAGGTCTCTGACTTTGTGACAAAGAAGTTCATATGCTTCCCAAACTAATTACTGCAGGTGAAAATGGAAAATGCAGGAGAAAAAGGTTTTAGAAGAGTTTCTCTTGTATTGACAAGAAAGCAAGGGTTGTTTTTGCACTCCAGAATGATTCTTATATAGTGTGCAGTTTTAGCAGGCCAGAGCAGAATCCAATAATGTTTTACATGGACCAATCGGATCTGACAGTAAATGGCTAGAAACATGAGAACAGGACTATATCAATTGGTGTTTCAAGCCTGTTATGCAATGCAGTGAGATATTGGCTCATCTGCTAACTAATTCTTTATACTGCCTTTGTCCCAAAGCCCTTAATAGCTTTGGCTAGTAAAAATCCATCAATCTCCGTTTTAAAGTTAACAATGGACCTAGCAGTAAAGTCCTAAACTTCTTCCAGCTTTTGCATGAAGAAATCGTCCTAATTTTATTTCTGAGAAACCCGGCTCTATGTTTTAGACTATGCTCTCCAGTTACTGGAGTTCTTAACTGCCAGAAATAGATTTTCCCAATCTACCCAATTTCTTTTCCTTAATATCTTGAATATTTGATCAAATTACTCACTAATTCTCTACATTCTAACCCTACTTAGCTCAATTTCTTAGTGAAGCTAGAAGCTGAGGTACCACTCTAGTAAATCGACATGGACTGCCCTCAAAGATCATGATGTACCTTAATAAATTACGATGCCCAGAACTACTCGATGTTTAATCAAGGTTTTTAGAGTTGAAACATGGCTGCTACTACCTTGTATTCTTTTAGATATAAAGACCAGCAATCCTCAGCCTTTTTGATCATTTTCTATATTTAATCCTGACATTGACCTGTGCACCTGTATTTCAAATTTCTTTCTATCTCCACTATTTCTAGCTTATCTGTATTTAAAAGATACCCTGTTCTTTATTTAGCTCAAATGGATGACCCCACATTTGCTGACATAAAATTCCATTTGATACAGTTTTGTCCATTCACTTAAACTATTGTTATCTCCTTGTACTGTTGCACTAATAGCTACACTACTTATAATTCTGTCCATCTTTGTGTTATGATCAGTAAATGTAGCTTTTAATTGAAGTCCCAACGTAGAATCATGAGGACACAACTAGAGGCAACCAGCCAATTAGAAAACCTATCTATTGTCATGTGTATGTCTCCGTGAGCTCCACATTAGCTAACAGTCTGTTGTGAAATGCATTAATAAATGCCTTCTGGACGTCCAGATATTAAATATTCCTGTCCACTGTACTTATATCTTCAAAAATCCAATCATATTCTATCTACTCCAGCTATTGCCCTTGATATTTTGAATAGTTCAATCAAATAACCCTTAAGGAATAATCTTCCTATTTTTGGTTAAAGTGTTTTGTTGAGTAAGATTCATAGCAACCTGAACAGTGGCTTGCAGTGATTTTTTTCTCATAGTCTTCCATTCTTCATCCCATTAATAATATAATTGAGTTGTTAGGTGCATTTCTCACAGAACTGCATGTCCAGGGATGTAGGTGGCCAGAGATGTGGAAGTACTTGCCACTGCCCTCACATTCTGGCACTCACGCTGCTGATGCCCTAGTTAAAGCTCAGCTACACACAATTTCAGATGTTGCAAGCCAGGAATTGTCCGCCTCACTGTGGTGCTTGACCTTATCATTGAGGACATGGTACAGAAGAAAAGAAAGCTCACTTTACAATTCAGATCGGGACCTGAGACCTTGGTGGAAGATATGGTGGTGATGAGGACAGTCTTTTTGCTGCAGACTGCTGCAAGAGATCAAGCCACCAGGCTAAACCAGTCTGGACCCAAATTGTAGTCCAAGGTTGCTGTGACCCGGTGAAGTGGGACATCCAACAATGATTTTCTGCACTCCACCAGAATAAATGCCTTCATCAACTTTCTGCTACCTCAGACTCTCAAGGTCAGCACTGACTCTAACTCTGCCACTGCATACACTTCTTACCAAAGACCACGGATTACAAATTTCACAATTGCATGCATTATGTATACTCAGTGGGTCTCATCCACATTATCCATCCAAATAATTCACTTTTTTTGCCCTTTGCACTTCCTACTCACTCTCTGGGGACACCTCATTGTTGGTTTTGCCTCCAACATTATATATTACCTGAAGCTACAGTGCTCATGTTATCCCTTCTAACAAAGAAACTAGGTGTGATCATGTGTATTGAAGGATCCTACAGATAATTATTATAGCTCACAAGTATATATAAATTTCGCATTCACAGATTCATCAAACTGTTTGGCTAGTATTAAGCTATTCAGTTACAACAGAGCAGCATGTTTTTTAAATTATGCTTCAAGTCATCTGAGCTAAAATGGACTGTGCAATCTTCATACCCTGAGACCACATGCTATTAGACAGTGATGATACCATAAACATTTAATTTAAAGTCATACTGACATATTGTGTCTCTTAAAAAATATATGGACTGTGAGACATAGTACAACACTTACCATCTCTGCTGCTTGTGCATCAACTCTAACTGCTCTTCCATACACTTCCATCATATTCAATCTCTTCTTTTGTCTCATTGCAGGAAAAAGTTGGTCCACTCAACTGGACTGACATCCTCACAGCACCAGACTGATTTACTTGCATTCCCCAATTTTTTTGCATTTGGCCTACAGAACTGACCATGGCCTAATCCCCAGATTGCAAGGTCATGATTCCTGCACTCTCGCAGGGCCAAGCCCCAGATTGACTGCGGCCAACACCCTAGACAGGAATTGTCAAGTCCCTTGACTGACTGTGGCCGCCCCCAACAGTCCATAGTCCCCCTTCATCCCACTAAAGACTGCTCCCTTTGACTTTCATACAAGCCATTTGCTTGAACAACATGTATTGTGTTTGCATCAAAAACTGCTGGCAATGCTGTAGGTGTGATGCTGACACAGCACTGTACCACAAAGGAATATTTCCACCCCTTGACTATTCAGTGCTCTGTACTCAAACTGTCTGCTTCACTCTCTGCGTTAAAAAGCAATGCAAGCCACTGTGTATTAAAGACCCTGTGTGTTAAGAAAACAATGTCAGTCACACTGAGGCTGGCAGATATAAATCAGTGTTGAAACAAGTGAGTGTGAGCTAAGAAAGCAATGTGAAGCAGATACAGGTTGGCAGCCTCCAAGTACTTGCAAAGTGGGTGAGTGGTGAAAAGCAAGCTAATAGCCAATGATTGCATCTTGTGTAGATGAAGGAAATGCATGTGTGTGCGTGTGCAGAAAGCAATCTAGCAGAGGCCTGTAAATCACAGGTGTCCCTGACATTCAAAGTGAAGTGTTGAAGGGCTGAAGTATTGTCTGAGTTCGTCTGAGAGCAGACATGGTGATGTGATAAGGCTGTTAGTTTCCTGAAGCTGACTGACATGGATGAAGGATCAAAGAGGATGGTGATCACAGAGTATTCAGAGTCAATTTTCTGGAACAGCATCTACATGACAAGAAATTGGCAGCTAGAGTGACACAGTGGTTAGCACTGATGCCTCACAATGCCAGGGACCCAGGTTTGATTCTAGCTTTAGGCAACTGTGTGGAGTCTGCACATTCTCCCCATGTCTGTGTGGGTTTCTGTTGGATGGTCTATTTCTGCCAACAATTTAAAAATGTGGAAATTAGGTGAATTAGCCATGCTAGATTGTTGGTACTATCTGGGAATATGCAGGCTAGGTGCATTAGCCATAGTAAATGCAGGGGCTGGGTTTGGGTGGGATGCTCTTTGGAAGGTTGGTGCAGACTTGATGGGCCTTTTTCTGCACAGTACAGATTCTAGGAACCTACTCTGTTTTACATGTTAGGAATTTTCATTATCACGTTTCTCAGGAAGGGTAAAGAGAGTCAGATATGACATATAAATAAG